TTTGTAGAAATAATTAAATATAATTTATCCTATTGTTACAGTTTTTTGATTTTATACCCGTTGTTTAAACAAAACTTAACTATATTTGTTTAATTGTTGTTGATAATATAAAATAGATTAAGACAATATTTAAAAGTATGTAAAATGTTGATTAACAGATTGTTTATTCAATGTATTTAAACTTCCATTGAATTAAATTGAATTCAACCATAATATACACTTTTTGTCAAATGATATTCGATTAAAGTTCAACAAAGAAATATTTTTCTCCTTTGCTTTGATCCGTTTTATTTATATTTATGGTCAATTTATTTTAAGAATGTCTACAAAAACCGAATATTCGGCTATCTCGGCTCATCTATCTCTTAATCACTTTCCGATATATAAAATAAACAGAATTTGCTCACTTTTTTATTAATAGGATTAAAATAAAATTTTAAAAACATAAGCTTCAACGTGTTAATTGTTAAAAATCTGACCAAAATGAATGCACGGGTTGCGACACAAACAAAGTCTTTTCAACAACAAACAGCAATGTGTGTTGCGCGTGCTGATTTTGATGCAATTTGTCGAGTCTGTGCGTCAAGTGGCGAAAATAAATGCAACACTTGCACCAACAAGACGCGCCCAGATGAGATTGGTAAAATGTGTTCCATGCGACACACAGTGCACAACGGGCTGCAATTGCCAAACTATTGTTTGTGTCAACTGCGATTTTAACGAAGTTATTGACGAGTCTGATGTAACAACAAAATGTGAGGCTTGCTCTTCGTTCGATTCAAATTGCAGTTTGTGTGCACCAGATTAATCACTTTCGTGTGAGGAATGCAACACAAATTATTACCCAGACACTCCAACAGACTTCAATGTTATTAAATATTTCCCCCTCATTTCAGCTGCGGCTGCATCAGCTAGCTTTTCCTGCATTTCTCTTCTCTTCTTTTCTTTAAATTTGTTGCCACTGCTTGGAAATTTCTGCTGTCTCTTCGGGATCTACTAAGAGTATTTCCCCATCTTCAAGCATCATGGCTATTTTGCTAGCCACTCAGGAGCAGGCATCATCTTCTTGCTCCTCTAACTCCATTTTTTTTCTTTGTGGAGAAAGCCCCTCTTATAACTCTTAGGTATGAGTTATTACTGCCTCAGTGGGGTTTTTTACCTTTTTTTTCTTTCTTCCCCCTTTCTTCGTCTTCTTCTTTCGGTTCTTTCTTGACGAAGATTATTTGGTGGTCTTCACCAAATGTAACAATCACGTATGATTTCCAGCAATTGGTCCACGTGATCCCACTGTTCACCAATTTCTCTGTTGACAAAGAGTAGCGCTGGTGTAACCGGGTAGGTTATATAAATTGCTTCGGCTTGCCATGGGTATTGGCCACCTTTGACGTTCACGTACAGTGGGTACCTGTCTAATAAACGTAGCAATTCATTCATCCTGAATGTTCCAAAACGGATATCATCCAAAATGACTGCCCTTTGGTCGTGGTAATTGAAACCAAATTATAGCCCGTCTTATCTCTAACCCTAGTGCTAATCTATTATCAACTATTTACTTATAGTTTTTTATTTTTATTTTTTTAAATGGTTTTCTACAATAAATTTATTTATTTAAAATAACTTTATAGTATTTTAAATATAAGATTTGAATACTATTAAAAGTTGTATAGCTAGTTTTATACCTTCGTCTTTAATCAAAAAAGTATTATCAAAAACCTTCTTGCGGAAGTACTCGTCGCACTCGATTTTATGTTAAGATGACTATTTATCATAAAAATCTTTTCAAAGTGCCGACACCAAGTTTCACAAGGTTAATTGTAACAACTTGTTTTAGTCTATGTGTCACCTTCTGGTACTGTAAGTAAAAATAATTATGTTGATACTACTTGTGTTACTTCTTAACCTTTGTTTTATTTACTATTTAAATACAATTATTTTTGTTATGTGTTAGTCATTAAATAAAAATATTTGTCGTTTTTTCTATTACTTATATTTTTTTTAAAAAAAATACAGCTATACAGTTTAAATAAATCGAAAAATCATTGCTAATAAATAAAAAACATCATTATATTATTAATATTATTTTTTTTAACTTATTAAAAATATTTCAAAAGTTTTTGAAACAAGTTAAATATTTTAAATAAATTTTAATAATTGTTTAATTAAGCAATTTGATAATTATGTTATTCACATATATAATAAACCTTTTTACTATATTTGAAACATTTTCTTCTTTTTTGAATCCAAGATCGTCTGAAGAGCTATCCTAAATTGTTTAAAAACACCAACGATCATTTTATGTCGATTCTTTGTAATTAAAAACATATATAGACATTTTTTGACGGTGGCTTCTACAAACTCGATTTTGACTTTGTAGAGATCATCATACAAATGATTTCCATTTTCATGTCTATATTATTCGAACTTAATCGAAATTGTTCGTTCTTCGTAAGGTGCTATTTAATGACAGTGATAAAAGACAAGTCAAGTGGTTGGCACAAATGGGATGTGTATGGTTTTTTAAAGTACATCAATCACACTCTTTTTGTTAATGTT